GCCCCCTCACTTGTGAGTCCTTCGAAAGCCCAAACTCAACTGGGCTGGGTGACGGGTACGTCATCGCACGGTTACCAATAGAACCGGCTCTGATACCATGATAGAAACTGGGGGGAAAACGGGTGCGGGCCCACTATCATGAAGGCAGACTCAGGGAGGTCCTTGGCTCGATCCCGCACCATGGGAAAACAGAAAAAGCTCATATGAAGCCCAAATGGGGTTCCATCCCAAAACCAAATGGGGTTCCATCCCAAAACCAATTGGTGGAAGGAGGAGTAGCCCATTAGACTTATAAGGTGGGTCTATTTTTTATGTATTGATGATGTGAGACAACTCACAAGTGATATTCTAACAAAAATGAACTCATCACTCTTCTAAATATTTCGATACTTATATTTTACACCTCATATGGTATGATCACACGATGTGCGGTGCAATCGTTTGTTGTGATTTTATTGTGCAATCATGTATTCTAATCATATGGTTTGATTATTTTGCGATCATATTATGCGATTATTGTATGATACGATTATGGTGCAATCATGTATTCTAATCATATGGTTTGATTATTTTGCGATCATATTATGCGATTATTGTATGATACGATTATGGTGTAATCATATGGTACAATGACGAATATATCATCAGAAATGAAAAAATAAAGGCGTATTGAAAATATAGTAGGAAAAAAACAATAATTAATTATTTTTTGGGATAGAACATATGTTCTGATCATGTAGTACGTGCATGCAACAAGACATTGCCAATTTCTCAATAAGATTTTTCCCTCTAACCTTGTATCTGACCTATATTTTCTCTTATCATTTTTTTTTATAAAATTGAGGCTACTACCTTGTCCAAGTCTCCAACTAACGATTAGACGAGATGGGACTAGAAAGATTCGTATCATGCAAAAAAGTCTTGCTCTCATTTTGAATTCAAAGTGGGATTTTCATGTGATTCAATCATCCCTAAATTAGAAAATTTGGGATTTTCCCATCTGAATATATCTAAGTGGTGTAGATGGATACAACTAAAATCTTGTCGGCGTGGATTGATGATGTGGTCAAGTGTGTCGATTATTTTGGCGAATTATACAGAATTTTAGGCCTATATGACAATTCATAAACATCATCTTATAGCCCCTTATAATTCCTTAATAGAACTCACTTGTCTTCATATACATATAATAGAAAAGATAGAGATTCACCATTAATCCATGCACAAAACCGCAATCACATAGATTGCATTAATTATTACAAACACGTCAAGTACTTTGTACAACACCATCAACCACAAAGTACTTTTTATTAATCTTACTTATAAAGTACAAATTTCATGATATTCTTTATTGTCTGTGATTCAATCAACCGATGGTTGGGGCACGAACTACCACACCATGATCATCGACCCAAACCCATACACGGTCACACCTAAAGTCTCGAGTCACGGGAGTCCCATCTTTTAGAACAATTGCATTCACTTTCTTATTTTCGCTCTCTATCACCTTTTCAGCGTTCGCTCCATATCGCCCCACCAATTCCGGCCACGAATTCTTGCCTATTAAAAAAAGAAAAAACACACATATGCTTTATATAAATTGCTACTTAAAGCATCTCCAGTCGCGTTAATTAGAGGAACATTAAAATGAAATTAATATAGTAATATTTATGTAATATTAAATAAATGTATAATAGGTCCCACGTATAATATATTTAAAATGACTTAACGAATATGAGTGGATGTTTAAATAAAAATATTTTTGATAAAATGATGAAATGGAGATGAAGTAGATTATGGAGAGAATAATTTAATATTTTTGATAAAATGATGAAATGGAGATGAAGTAGATTATGGAGAGAATAATTTATAGTTAAATGAATATGGATGAATACAGATGCTCTTAAATACGAACATAGATTCAAATAATTCAAAATACGGCTCCACAATTTATAATTAGAGTTGTTAAACATTTTTTTTAAAAAAGTTTGTCATGAAGGCTCGTTTGTTTACTTAAACGAGCAAAACTTGCACAGTTACTCGAGCTTGTTTATTAAACAAACTCGAAGTCTGCTCGCGAACAACTTATTTTGACATCGATTTTAAATGGAATAGTCGAGTTGATCTTATTCGCGAAGAGACATTTCATGTTAGCACACAACTAATTTAAGGTTTTGACTAGGTTTATTAAAAGATCAAGTTTTCATGAATTTAAATGAATAGAGGTAGCCAACTCGTTAATTAAACAAACACGAATTAAAATGGAAGTTATTCAATTGGAATTGACTCAAACAACTTAACAACATAATGAATATCGACAATATAGCAATCAAGCTTAATTAACAATCATTACCCGAAAAAGAAAAAACGAAAAAACTGATGGGACTTTATAAAATTAAGAACAAAATGGAGAAAATGAGTAAAACTCTTGCCTGGACAACTCGACATGTCTGCTTCAAGTTCTTGGCAACTGAGTCAAATACTAATTAAGAGCGATTTATGAGGCTAGCTCGATCTATGAAATCGAACTCACAACCCACGTTTATATAGATAGAGAGGCCAGATTTTCTTTGTGCTGACGTATTATCTATATAGACACATATATAATAAACACCGCAGTCCGTAAATTATGACCTATCCGCCGGTCAAAATAAATGACGCCGGCATTAATGGTTACCTTATTGTTCAACAAGATCGGGGTCAAACCTAGCCATCAGCCTGACACGTGGAGATATAATGCACAGACCTTTCTCCACTTAATTAGTTGATTGAATTGTATAATAATAGTATTCTTTTATCTTTAATTTTATTTGTGGATATAATTGACTTTTGATCGGCCAAATTGTCTCCGTGTCCCTATTATACAAAACCTACACATATGAATTTGTAACAATATAATATGAAANAAAAAAAAAAAAAATCTTCAAAAGAAAATATAATATAAAAATTTCAAATTACAAATAACAAAATTTCGAAATAAAGCATCGGCAAGATTACTAAAAATTGAAATACGTGGAACCATTTGTGTTTGAATTTTTAGATACAAAATACAGATTCAGACGTGAAGTGCATGCTTGTTTATACGTTTTTTTTTATTGATTTTTTATTAATCATAGTTGATTTTATTGATTTTTTATTAATCATAGTTAATTTTAAAAAACTTTGTTGAATTAGGCTTGAAATTTGAATGAGATTAGGGGTGCACAAAATATAGTTAGGATATATTCGAGCCAAACTGATCGAAACCGAAAATTTAGTTTGGACCAAAATTTAAATCAAAAATATAGTTCGGTTTTTGATTTATATTTTCTTACAACATTAATTTTCGTTTCGGTTTGGATATAAGTGAAATTTGATAATCGAAATAAGAACATTTACACGACGTAGCAAACATAAGTATGAGATACTTTATTCTTATTCACAATCCAAAGTACATAAATTTCACAAATCTTTTCTTACAACAATTGAACTAACACCAAGAGCAATGATACTTTATTCTTCATAATTAATACATATGCCTTCTTTTTCCTTTATCATTTAGCACAATTCAAAGTAGTTTGATTTTCGATGCTTCTCTTTTCATTGCCTCCATCTATAAAGTATGATCGAGTTTTTTCTTTGCCTCTTGCGGATATTTGAATCTGGTGGCCTCTGCCATCTCCGAGGAACAAAGACTCTAGATACCAATTTTATTGATTTTCGTTTTTGTAATTTTTTTTTTTTGCATTTTGTTGTAATTAATTTAAGCTGGATTTAGCAGATGAAACTTGGGGGAAGAAGAATTTTCGAAGGGAAGGGAGATAGGGAGCTAGAAAGTAAAAAGATGAGAGCAGCATGTAACTACCAATTACTAGTATTCGACATGTGCATTTGCACAGATATAAATAAATTATTGCGAGTCTGTACATATAATGATTAATTATTTTTCTCACTTTTTTGCAGACCAAATTTACAATTAAAAGAGTTGGAATATTTTTTTTTTAAATTGTGTTTATCTGATTGGATGTAATGTATATTTTGGTACGTCTTTTATTTGTGAATTATTTATTATTTATTTAGGAATTTCAAATATATTTTTTATTTTCAAAAAAAAAAATATTAAATGTAACAACAATAATAACATCTAATCACATTATACGGTCAACATATTATATGGTCAACTGTCATTAATCAAAAGTTTAAAATAATTTTTGTAATTTTGAAGTGATGAGTATTAATTACTTATTGATTAAATGAAAGATTAAATATATAAAAATATAACGGTTTTTGGAGGGAAAATTGTTAAATTGCCACATAGGTAAAATTAAATAGGTTTTATTAAATTCTATTAGCTAGTAATTATATATATTTAGACGTCTCTCCCAAAAGATTCCACATTTGTTGACACATAGTTGGGGCCTAACCCCATTGAACATAACTAACAATTGGGCTTGAAATTAAAATTAAACTACAGCTAATCTTAAAGCCTAAAGTCGGCCCATAACTAACAATTGGGCTTGTAGATATTTAAAATCGAACACACCCTCACCCTCAGCGAGGCGATTTTGGGATTTCTCATTGCTCCTCGTTCGCTCCCGAAATTATTTTCTCGCCGTGCTCCGCTTCTTTCCAGCCGCAAGGCAGCAACTTAAAGTTAATTTTATCGAACTTTTGAGGTTAGTTACAAAAGCTTTTTTTTTTTTTTTTTAAACCATGCTTTGGTCCTTACAGTATATTGTGCTTCCTTGTAAATTGCTTCTATCTTTGTTCCTTCCTTCTGTTTTTCCTAAAAATTATGTATATTATTGGGCAAGAAGAATGGAAGTTTAGTAAATTGATTGTGCCATTTTGTTCATAAATTGTTAAATTGATTCGGAATTATTGAGATTGTCTGTCAAATGTAATGTCATTGTGATAAAGTTAGATTCTTTCCAAGGTTTTGTGATTTGGTGACTTTCGTATATTTTTTCATCGTTTCTCTTTAATTTGACAATTGTCATTCAACAGTAAGTAATAAATCAATGGAAGCTGAGGCCTTTGAAAGCCTTTGTGAAGGCAAGTACGATTCCAATAGCGACGATTTCGAGGGTTTTGTCGATGACACTGTCGATGACGAACTTTGCTATGCCTCTGAAAACATACCCAAGTTACAATTCAGGTGAAGTCTCCTAAACAAGTCAGTAATTTTATTATATATTATTATTTTATTTGTATTATCTGTAAACAATTCGATCGTGTTTTATTGACATGATTTAACGAAAGGAAAGACGTGTCAAAGGCAGTGTGGATAGAAGAATTGGGAATGGCTGAGTTGGTAGAGAAAAAGGGTAAAATGTGGGTCACAACTGGGATAATTCGTGATGGAAAAACATACTGTACGATTGAAGAAACATTGTACGCCCGATGCAAGTTCATATATATATATTTTTTTGAATCAGTGAATTTGCTTAAATGTAATATGCTGAATACCACTTGATAGTTTTGCAGGTATTTGGCAGAAATTGGTGCATTATGTATTGTCAATAGTGAAAACGAGCCGATTACTCTTAGCAGTATGTATGAAAAGATTGCAGGGGACTCAAACAAGCACGGATTTTTTTGGGAGTTTTTTGAAGCCTATCGGCACTTGAAGCTTTTAGGTTATGTCGTGGGCCGCCATGCTGTCCCTTGGTCTATGAAGAGTGTAAAATCACGAGAAAGTACAATCGTACTTGACATCACGAAGATGTTTGATAAGTTGCATTTTGGTGAAGCAAGACCAATATTTGATGTTTATCCTCCTAATAGCAAGTTTAGAAAGTCTTCTCCAGGAAATCCATCGTTCGTGCTCTGCTTTACAGGGTAACCGATTTTATCATTTATCTTAATACAGTTTATGATTTGAATTTTGCTCTACTCATTTGTAATCAGGGTTAAACCGTGTAAAAATCTGATTCTGTGTATATTAGGGGACTAACTGTGATCATAAAGCCTTTTTTTCTCGAATTGACGAGCATTTTGATAGAGATACATTGCACGTTAAATAAGTGCACATCTTTAGGATTAGCTTTTCTTANTTTTTTTTTTTTTTTTTTCCATGTAGATTGAGCTGAGCTTAAGATTTAACATACATTTCCTTTGAGAACAATATTTTCCCTCTTGATTTTACGGTGACCCCGCAAAGACTCGGTTTGAATGATGTAATTTGATTATCACTATCATGATAAGTTGGTATTTTTTTTTAAAGGGACCGACCGCCATCCAAATTAGAAATCGAGGACCTTGAGGCACGTTGCAATGGATGTCCCGTGAAGTTCTGTGTTGTTGAGCATGGGCAGGTTAGTTTCATGTCCTTCACAAAAGTCGAGCTGCCTGTCCTCCCATGATGTTTTTTTCTTTTCGACAGCCAGAACCAGTTCACGACGTAGACTAATCCCGAACTGGTTTTATTTATTTTTTAATTATTTGTTGTATATTTATTTTTCGACATCCGTAATAAAAACAATACTCGTTACTCATGTTACACATATCAACAAAAAAAGAGTACTCCAGTACACATATAAACAAAGTTATAAACCATAACACTGAGTGAATCCGAAATGTCATTCTCAACTGTAATTTCTCTCTTCCGAAACTAATTGAATCAAAAATGTCATCTTCAATTCTGTAAGGCTCGATGCTTCTCGCTGCCGAAGAAGCACAACACTGGTTGGAGGGCGCGACGCCCGCTATACCGTGCCTCCTGTTTCAAAGCTAAAGCTGAGGGGGCGATGTTGCGACGGCAGAGATTTCCTCAGCCGTGCTCCCCGTGGTCGCATTACACCAGGTCGCGACCTCAACGCCGGCGATTACCCCAATGGTGGTTCCAGTGCGAAACCAGATCTTCAAAAGCGGCTCAGAGTAATCAATTAATCATTAATTACTTATTTTTTTTAACATTCAACATTTTTTTTCACTGATTTAATGCAATTGAGGGAAAAAAAAAGAAAAAAAATATTTGATGTTCATGCCTTGATTAATCAATCTTGAATCAGTATTTTATTTGATTTAGATTGTTATTTTAAAGAGATGAACCTTCGATATTGGTGGTAGTATAAGGAGTGGAGTTCTTAAGATTAATGAGTTATTAACAATGAGTTATTAATTCTTGTGGCTTGATTTCTGAGCTTTCCTGAGACACTTTTATGCATTTATTATGCTCTTTGTTGTATGAGTTATGAATACGATTTTTGGAATGAGGCATTTTCATGCATTTATTATCCATGCATTTATTATGTTCAGTTGATACTAAAATTTATTAGAGTGAGTTGATTGTGTGTATGTTCTCCATTTTCTGAAACCAATATATCTTAGAATAATAAGTTGTTTTCAAGAGACATGGACTAATGCTCAATTATTTGCCCTTGATTTTTTTAGACCCGCATTCACTTTTTGTTATGCTAATTAACATTCAATTTTTTAGACTTATTTGCATCATGCTCGTAATGCGATACTAAAGCTAAAGTTGTACAAGCAGCAGTCCGGGTCGAAACAACAAGAGAAAGGTCGAAGGTTTGAATATTATCTTGTATATGCTCCAGTCAAAAAGAAAGTTGGTATATCCTTCTAACAAGATTTGGGATTCCCCGTTTCATTCCTCACTCTCTTTCTCCTGAGAGAGGGGGATAAAAGTAAGGTGCAGACGAAGATCCCACAATCAAAGTATTCTTTTAATTAGCATGATCTCGCGGTTATTGAAGTCATTATGCGTGTTGCTGTGCCGGACTATCACCGAGGAGGAAGTGGTTTTACAGACCAGATCAGATTGGATACAACACGGGAAGTCAAGCGGTCTTGATATTTTGGAATATTATTCGTTGCTATGTCTGATTTCGCTGAAAGTCAATCCCTCAATTGGACTTCCTTGATGACACTGAATCGCTTCAACAATTTTGAGCAGGCTGAAAGTTGGAAATTTAATATGGAGGTCTAAGATGAGTCCGAGAATTGAAGCAGTTACGGAGACCGGAATGTCATCAGCTGCAGGCCTTAGTAGTATAAGGTTCTTTTTCGATGAAACATTTAGTGGAATGTGAAGTTGTCATCCACCATTTTTCGGTTGTAAACGCAAAGATTTGGTTTATTTGCCTGTTCTCGACAAAGAGTTATGTCTATGCGTTTTTTGATACTATATCTATTGAATTATTTTTTGTTGAGTCTAAGCCACTGCTCTCATGGACTCGTGATTAAGAGCTAGTTAGTCTGTACCTTTGAATCTATTTTTGGAAAAAAAAAAATTGTTTTATTTATTTTTTTATTCAGTGTTCACTTGTTCCTCCTATTACCACCGAGTTGCTCAACCAGATTGAGGAGGATGAGTTGCTGAGAGTTCCTCCTATTACCACCGAGTTGCTCAACCAGATTGAGGAGGATGAGTTGCTGATGCTCAGCAACTCATCCTCCTCAGTCTGGTTGAGCAACTCGGTGGTAATAGGAGGAACAAGTGAACCCTGAAGAAAAATAAATAAATAAATAAAACAATTTTTTTTTTCAAAAATAAGTTCAAAGATATAGGCTAACTAACCCTTAATCGCGACTAAACCTGTGGCCTAGATTCAACAAAAAATAATTCAATAGATATAGTATCAAAAAACACATATCCATACCTCTTACCTCTTTGTCGAGAATAGCCAAATCAACCAAATCTTTGCGTTTACAATCTAAAAATGGTGGATGACAGCTTCGCATTCCACTAAAGGTTTCATTGAAAAAGAACCTTATACTACTAAGGTCTGCCGCTGTTGGCATTCCGGTCTTCGTAACTACTTCAATTCTCGGACTCATCTTAGACCCCATATTAAATTCCCAACTTTCAGCCTGCTCAAAATTGTTGAAGCGATTCTGTGAGCCCTATTGGCTGTCATTAGCCTAAGAAGTCCAAGTGTGGGATGGACTTTCAGCGAAATCAGACATAGCAATAATATTCCAAAATATCTTGACTTCCCATGTTGTATCCAATCTAAACTAGTCAGTAAAACTACTTTCTCGGTGATAGTCCGGTATAGCAACACGCATAATGTCTTCAATAGGCGCGAGATCATGCTAATTAAAAGAATACTTTCGCTGTGGGATCTTCGCCTGCACTTTACTTTTATCCCCCTCTCTCGGGAGAGAAACTGAGGAATGAAGCGGGGGATCCAAATCTTGTTAGAAATCTTGTTAGAAGGATATACCAACCTCTTGACTAGAGCATATACAAGATCATATTCAAACCTTCGATCTTTCTTTGGTTGTTTCGACCCGGCCTGCTGCTTGTACAACTTCAACTTTAGTATCGCATTACGAGCATGATGCAAACAAGTCTGAAAAAAATGAATGTTAATTAGCATAACAAAAAGTGAATGCGGGTCTAAAAAAATCAAGGGCAAATAATTGAGTGTCTCTTGAAAATAGGCAGCTTATTATTCTAGCTATCTGAGATATATGGGCTTCAGAAAATGGAGAACCTAAACACAATGAACTCACTCTAATAAATTTTAGTATTAACTGAGCATAATAAATGTCTCATTCTAGAAATCACATTCATAACTCTTACAACAAAGAGCATAACAGTGCCTCGAGAAAGCTCATAAATCAAGCCACAAGAATTAATAGCTCATTGTTAATAACTCATTAATCTTAAAAACTCACTGTTTATACCACCAAATTCGAAGGTTCATCTCTTTAAAATAACAATATAAATCAAATAAAATACTGATTCAGAATTGATTAATCAAGGCATGAACATCAAATATTTTTTTTTTCCTTCAATTGCATTAAATCGGTTAAACAAATGTTGAAAGTTAAAAAAAACAATCAGTAATTAATGATTACTCTGAGCTGCTTTTGAAGATCTGGTTTACTCGCACTGGAACCACCATTGGTGGAATCGCCGGAGTTGAGGTCGCAACCTAAACACACCATCTTATGAAGTGCTTCACTTCTATGGGCCCGCAACCTCTTTCCCTGAATCAATAACTCTAACAAGATGAAGGGCATTTTAATGCTTAGAAATACTACTATTTTTTTTTTTTGAAATAAAAAATACTACTATTTGATTAGTGAAACTTTTTACCCATCCTAGATATATTCTCTTACTTATAAAAAGGAATGGTGAAACTTTTTACCCATCCTAAATCTGGTGACAGGTGTCCAATTTTAGTTTCAAAACGACGTTGTTTTGATTTCACTTTAATTAACTTTAAAATGAGATGATTAAAATATAAAGAAAATGAGGTCAGATGTCTCGAGAAGTCTCTGAGACTCTCAGTTCTCATTTTCCCAAACCACACTTCGTTCATCTCCTCTCGCCGCCGCCCTACTTGAATACGATTCTTCTCGACACTACCACACCCTAATGACGAGAGTGATGATTAAACTTCGACGAACCCTTGTTCGAGAAGATTTTCAAAAAGTGCAGAAAAGTCAGGCTCTATCAACGTGGAACCTCACCAGCCTTGCATCCCAAAATTGACGTAGAAAAAATCGAAGTTACTCGCCATTGATCGTTTCACTGTTTCAATACTCGCCATGTTTCTGGTCAAGGTAAGAAATCTATGTCCCTTTACTTTGTTATGTGGTTTTTCTACAGTTCAACGTTATATCGTCTCTGTTCACTTTTCTGTTTTTTGTGTTATTTTACTGATGTTGGTGACAGACATGGAATTAATATCATTTGGGCTGTATAGCTACAAAAATTTCACCAAATTTGGTTTTATGTCCCATGTGATTAATATCACACATAAGTATACAACACACACAAGCATAGTGCACGGTGATTCTCGGCACACAATCTAATCAAACACAAGGACCTGTTCATGGCAGCGGAGTCCGACGATATCTCAGTTTTCAGCAGCTCCTCAAAGCCAGCTCACTTCGAAACGAAAATGGCCGCTCTGTCATACACGTTGCCATATCGTCCTCCCAGCCTGAGGCCCAGTCCATCACTTACCTTCTTGGTGCAGTTGAATTTCAACCATTTGAGCTGTCAATTCCTTTTATTTGTGAATTTATGCTTCTTTGTGTTATGGTGAGTTCAATTTTGCAATGTAAGTCAGTCTGCATGTTTCTTTTCATTTTTTTATGTTTTGGCTTTGTTTGATGGCATGGTGTAGTATTGGAGTTCGTGAAGCCCTGTGGTTGGTTGATCTTAGGTATTTAATTTTTACTCTCTTTCTCATTGGTGACGAAATTTGAGGAGGAATGTTTCTGGCAGCGTAGCATTAGGAAGATGGTTGTAGTTGTATTCTGACGTGTTCTTTTCGCATTTAGTTTCATCTGAAGTTGTTGAAATTTATTAATTTTCATGTATTAATTGTGCCTGTGGATGGATAGGTGGTGGGAATGCTGCTGACCATCGGTTGTGAATAGTTGCGATAGAGAAGGTTGGGTTCCCCTGCACTCGGCCTGCGGCTGCTACCATAATTTCCATAAAAAAGAGCCCGACTGTGAAACACATCCTACCACAGCATCTTCCGACTCCTCAGTGAAAAAACGCCTCAACTTCGACAGTCAGCAGAGCTCTTTGCCGACAAGCAGCACCCCACTCACACAGGTTTCCTAACCATCGAGCCAATCAACCCTTGAGACTGCAGCAAAAGCTAATGCAAGCCCTTCAAAGAAAATTCGGCCCAAGATGGACTAGAACCTGTAATGTAACTATAAACTTTTAAATGCCCTAAGTGGCATGAAACCTAACTTTTGTGTTTTGTCTGTATTTGTCGGAATTACAGCCATCTATTTGCATATAGGTGCTGCTGAATTCTGTAACTTCTCAATGGTATGGTTGCCATGAAACCTTTTGTTTTGCATGTTGTATGGATCCCAGGCATAATTCCAAGCATCTATTTACATGTAGATGTTGCGGAATTCTATAAATGGGTTGATGAATGCCTTTGATGCTTTTGCAGCTACAAAATTCCTTTGATATGTGTATACTCTGCCTTTATGTTTTTTTTTTTTATCTATTGTACATAACTGTCTTAGTTTGCAAGTTCTAACAGTTTAATAGCTTTCAGATATCACTCCAAATTGGGCTGGCTGTGCACGGCCTTATAAAAAGGAAGCATGAGCCTACCTTTCTTGACACGTGGCTCTTTATATATATTTTATTTGTTTTGGCAAGATCGTTTCTGAGCCGTTGGATTTTAGGGATTCAATCCTTACCGTTCGTCTAAGACTTTAAATGCTCTCTCCTCTCATTCTGGTCCTCACCCTCTCGCGTCTGAACTCTCTTTCTCTTTCTCACTCTTTGTAGTTTTCATTCTTTTTTGGCACTTCTTTCCGGTTTCCCGGCTGGTGGCCTAGCTTCTATTTTGCACTGTGATGAATTTAGAGGACTATTTTTTGTGACTACAAAAGTAAAGTGCCTTAGCGATGCTGGATTATTTCCTTTTATTTTTTTTTTCAAAAATGCTGGATTATTTCTGGATGCATAATATTTTCATATTTTTATCTGTTTTTTGCCTTTTGCAATTACAAAACATGTGGTTCATTTTCTTCGTCCTTACCTTTTAGGTGTTTGTATTTCGATACTGGCAAGCGGGATTGTGAAAACCCTAGATGTGCAGGCGGACTTGCAAAAGGCGATGCCATGACGAGCGACAGTGCCTTTTAGTATGACAAAACATGACAAAATATGACAATATTGATGCAAGTGAGTTAAAAAATTTTATTTCAGTTTCCTGCACGTTCATTTCAGTTTCCTGTTCTGATTTGTTGAAAATAAATTAATTAGGATGTTATCATGTTTGTTTATTGGAAATGTTCTATTTTTGCAGAAGCAGAAGCGATTTGAAGGAGATAAAGACTTGAAGAGTTGAATTATGAAGTAAGGTATAATCCATTGTATTTCAAATCTTTGGTTCTATGTTTATCTTTTCATATTAGACATAATTTCAACTTCAAATCCTTGTGGAAATAAAGTTTAGTTTTATGTTCCTTGTGTATGTTATTGGATTTCGTTATCATATAGGACCCTTTTGTATTAGCATAATTAATGGGTACAACTCCAACATGAAAAATATTTATGGGTTTCTTCAAGCATGTAATGATCGTGCACAGTAGGTTACCATGTTATTAGTAAATTTCTTTTGGATAATGACTTAAAATTATCCTAATCTTATTATTTAATAGATACATGATTGCTTTGATCAAATTTCTTTTAGTATGACTAATTTTTAAATACATTAAGTCCATGAATTTTTGAAATCAAATTTATACACTAATTCATATGACATTTACATGATATGGATAATAAGTAAAATGATATACAATTACAGTGTCAGTCAGGATTCAGTTTATACTTTATATGTGATGGCTAAGAAGATGAGTCAGAGGTATCCTCAATATTTCTCTTTCTTTTTTGTTTTCTTGTGTAATTTTGTTAGCGAATAAATAACCATTGTTTTTAAGAAATTAACTCTTATATTATATCAAGTCATGCAATAGTCATGACATTGTTTTTCATTCAATTATGCATTTTCAGGTGTCGTACTCCAAATTCGCCGGTGTCACGATCGAATCATGGCTGGAAACTGGCACGGTGACAGCAGGGTCCACCGTGTACAATTCTTTGACTTCTGTAGCTTTAGAAGTGGCCATTTCTGAGTTACCAGAGATGCAATTGGTTTATAAATATGTACTAAAAAATGATGTACTGCAATTCTTCTTCCCTAAGTAGCTGGGATCCAACACACATTTATCTTGTGGAGCTAAATTTTAACAAATAAATAAATAAGAAATTCATCTTTTTGCCGAAAAATAAAAGAATTCGGTTTTATATTTGTTTGGATGATAATTTCTGCTGCCGATTCAACATAATTCCATTTTAATCTTTAGGGAATGACGATTTTTTGGGTAGTGTATTCGCCTCTCATTCCTACGTAATTAAATGTTTTACTTATATCTGTTATCCATGTTATTAACTAGTAAATATCCTGTGCACATGCACATATGTACATAAAATATTATAAGTAATATTTGAGAATTTAATATTAAAATTTTAGATAATGAACATATTACATTTTTAAAATTTAATCATTAAGAAAAATAAATAAATGATTATTTATTATTATGAACAATTATTTATTATAATTAGATAATAGCAATTTGATTATTATTATTATTATTATTATTATTATTATTATTATTAAAAAATAATTTTTTATAAGATTCTAAAGTTGTTTGACTATGCTATTAAAACACTAATTGTTTTTGAAGAAATTTTTTCATGAGATACAAAAGAAAAAGATAATATTGATGTTAAAATAAATAACTTGAAACAATTGTTTATAATTATGGAATTTATATTTATTGTGAATAATTATATGTTGGTATAAGCATTAACTATTATATAATATAATTGAAAATACATGATTACACTCAGATGTATTAATGTCAGAAGTAAAAAACATTAATAATAAATTTTGTAACCGAAAATGGAGGGAAAATTTTGGAGGTTTTATTAAATAGGTTTTCTCAAATGCTCTTAGTTAGTAATTATATATATATATATAGATATGTACTTCATGCAGGTGTTATGTACTTCATGCAGGTGTTATCATAACTTTAGTTCAAAGAAATGTTGATTTGAGATGCAATGACAAAACGTTGCACAGGCTGCTGCACAAATGCCAATCACGGGACAAACTCCCCAAGTGAGTGATTTGTAATTTAACCTTTTGTGATGTTGCAAAATTTGGGAAACAATTATTTGCTTTTTTTCNGAAATCTAGCTGTTGATCAATCAGTAAGGTAAAGCTAAATAAATGGCTGAACACATGAACACATAACATTGGACTTCTCAAAGACTACATGGCTATTATAAACCTTAGGTTATTTAAAGCTTAAAAGACTAATTATGACACACTTATTTAAAACATGTTCTTAAAACAGCCTATCAATGCTTAAAGTGATTAAAAACTGACAAAGCATCCTTTGAGTTATGATTGTTGTGGCTGTGATGCAGGTACTTTCAAGTTTCAACGCGATTGGATCCCATTCCGTAAAATAATTTCGATCTCGCAAAAGATTTTGGAATGGTTTCTCCTCTTCATCTCTGCTTCAAATGTTTGAAAAAACTTCCCCCGATTTACATTGTTGTTAGTTTAGGAAATTGCCCAAAAAATCTAAGGCATCTTTGTTCACATTCTCTTACAGTTGGGTAAGATTGGTCCTGTAAGACTTTCTTTATACTATATTTTTCTTTAATTAACTATCAACAGAGATGCTTAACCATTTAATGAATTTTTATATCCTTTTGTCAATAAACCTGTTTTTAGATTATTTTTTTTAAGCATTTGTGTGAGGAGCCTGTTGATATGTCTCCTCCAGTCTACAGTACCTCCACCACCACCCCATTAGTCTACAAAATCAAAGAAAGGTAATTTTCATCAAATTCACTGGTGTCATCATTTTCCATTCTCTAGGTCCAAACGGTTGACTAATATTCTATCAACTTAAATTTTATGGAGAAATAGTAGTAAGAGCATTCTTATAGTCCCTTCAAGAGCCAAAACTGTAAACCTATGAATATAAAATTATATATTTGAATTTTTAAAACTACATAAGGATATTTTGCTCGACAGATGTTTGCCAATCATCCTTCAGGATCTACTGTATATTTATGAAGGTGAGGGTGTTTGTAATAGTTGGCAGATATTTACACTTTTTAAAAGAATAATTAGAATTTATATTAAGCAAATAAATGTTTAAATTTTTATGATCTTCTTCCTCAACTGGAACAAGCTTTTATGAGGTGTGATTTCTTTACTTTCTTCCTTCAATCAGAAATTTGGTGGGGTTCGATTCGGATAATTTTACAGCATAGTTTCAATGATAGATTGCATTGAATCAGTGCGTATAATATTTCAATATTATGGACCAAGATATTGGTTAATTATTAAAATTGAAGTATGAAAAATATATTTGTTTTAGAAAATTTGAAATACAAGTAATATGTAATATATTTATTATTTTCAGGTGACATTTTCTAATACATGACAAAGGGAGAACAAAATAAAGAAAGAATGAGGCGAGCACGGATACAAGAATAGAAGCTCCAACGTGGTTGCAAAAATCATAAACATGTGCAAATCTTTTTTAACCGAACATGTGAGCCGCCAGCTCATGTCGTTGGGGAAGAAGCGGGGTAGAGGAATTGCTCATGTAAGTCACTGCTCATTCAATTACTCATTCAATTACTGCAGCCACAAATCCTAAAAATAGTTGAAAAAAAGACATTGTGCTTTATTACATTTATTAAATTACTTCATAGATACTCATTTCATCAAGTCTATTTCGGTTCCAAAAGATAAAGTGAATAAATACCAAATCAAGCAGTTATTTTGAATTTTGGAAGGATGAAAACTCCGGTGCAAGTGTTAGCGGACATCATATTCGTGCCGTTCTAGATTATTTATCTCTTTGATATTAATTATTATTTATGCTGGTGGTCATATACTGGGTTTTAAACTTTTGCTTCATTATTTATTGTGTTGTCTATTACAACTCTTCATAGATCATTTTATTTATTACTTTTGAAGAAATAAAATGGAAGAATGAAGTCAAAGGCCGGAACTTTTTTTACAATTATGAAATTTCGATGTCCCTTTTTCATATTTCTTTTGAATAAATTTTTATATTTCTTTTGAATTACAGTCTTACAAATAATAGGATCATGAAAATCAGAAATAATAATTTTATATTTGACTGGCTCTGGTGCCATTAGTTTTTAGTAATGTTAGTAATAATAGCTATTGTATTAACTTGATAAAGAAGTTAATTATAATGTTTCATAATAATAGCCTTGGTTTTGAGTTGGTGCAGAAGTAAAAATGTGAAAGTAGCTATTATATTCATGATATTGTATATCATTAGTCTACTGCTGAGTTTTTGACTTGGTGCAAAAGTAAAAATGTGAAAGTAGCTATTATGATTTAGGGCTGCAAACGAGCCGAGCCGAGTCGAGCATTGGCCTTATCGAGCAGGATTGATTTTTTTTTTTTAGTTGCTCGAGCTCGACTTGATAAAAAATTACAATAGCTTGAGCTCGGCTCGAGCTCAACTCGAAATCAAAATGCTCGAGCTCGGTTCAAAAATTTTTAAGTGGAAAGGTAAAATTACCATTAAGGACATATGCTAATATATATATATATATATATAAAGGGGTATTTTAGTAATTTACATGTATCTCGAGCTGCTCGATGAGCCGCTCAACAAGGCAAAATATAGGCTCGAGCTCGACTCGAGTTCTTGCTCGAGCTGAACTCGAGTTCGGTCAAACTCGAGCTCGAGTCTAGCTTTGATTCGAGCACTCGCGAGCCGCTCGGTTGGTTAACTTGGTTTGCAGCCCTACTCATGTAGGTGTATTTGAGTGAGCCCATTTTATAGAAAAAGAATAGATCATGTTATTAAGTTCATAAAATAATTAAAGAACTGATATAATTGATAATTATTAACTATACTTGGATTATATATCAGATCAAAACTTAATTACCTCGTATAAATGACAAATAACCTAATTTAGTTTGTGAAAATTGACGCAGCTGTTACTCGAAATTCAGGAAACTGAAGAAAGCAAAACCTCACACTTGAAGAAATAAATAAAAATTAAGTTACCGAATATTATGCAACTACATTATCTTAAGATTGGTCCTGGCCCTGAACCGGTTCGTGATCAACGGTCATTAATCGAGTCCGTGGTTTGACCGGGCCAATTCAGGGCCATATATATGTACTTTTTGAACTTTCAGGCCGGTTGCGAACTGAAATCGGAACCAACAGTTCAAAATTTCTTTTTTTTTTTTTTACTTTTTTTTTTTCATGAACCGGTGCATATGTTCTGACCGATTAATGGTCGTCCGACCCTTGGCCCGGAACCGGTTTTTGGCCATGTTTAGCTTTCATGATGATACACTTAATTAGATCATTATCATGTTAGGACAAATTTGATAATCGAAATAAAAACATATACACCACTTAATTATTCTTATTCATAATCATTCACAAATCTTTTATTACAACAATTGAACTTAGCACCAACAACAATGATGCATTGATGCTTATTTATTCTTCATAAATATACTCAAGCACATTTGTTTTTTCTGTTCATTTTTTTTTCTTTCTTTCATTCACATTTAACCAATAGTTGGAACACGAACCACCGTGCCACAATCATTAACCCAAACCCTAACACGATCACACCTGAAATCATCAGTCACGGGAGTTCCTTCTTTCACTACAATTGCATTCACGTTCGGACTTTCCTTCTCTATCGCCTTGGCTGCCGCCTCTCCATTTTTCTCCACCAATTCCGGCCAAGAATTCTTTCCTACAATGCCAAAAAAAAAATAAAAATAAAAAAATAAAAATAATAATAATAATAATGATGATAATAATAATAATAATAATAATAATAATAATAATAAATAAAGATAGAAACTAATAGAATTTGTATTTTTTGTGTAAGTTTACTATATATATCACATACAACAAAGTGATCAAATTTCAACGGAAAGTTCCAATACAAAATTTTAATGGAATTCCAACGGAAATTTCAACAAAAATATTCCGTTGGAATGAGTTTTCCATTGGAATTTTCATTGGATTTTGAAGATTCCAACGGTAGATTTTCCAATGGAGGTGGAAATAAAAATTCTAACGAAAATTCATACAGTAAAAAACCTTTAGAAAAATAGCCGTTGGAATCATCAAATTCCATCTAAAATGGAAAATTCATTCCTAACGGAATATTTTTGTTGGAATGATTCCAACGGAAGCTATACCATTGAAATATTCGCTGAAATTTTCGTGAAAT